TGGAGGGATAAAATCAACACTCATTGATGCAATGCTCCTAGTTACAGGAAACACCACAATAGGCTCCCTTATCAAAGAAAAGGCCTTGGTCCTATATGAGAAGCTACTGCGCATTCCCATGGACAAATTCTTCAGCACCTATGAGAATAGACCAAGACATCTGAAAACGTAATCTGATCTAATACAGAAAGCCATAGAACTGAAAAAAGAATTACAAATCGATTACAAATCAAAAAGCGTCTCTCTCCTCATGAACCCATTAGCAGACATTGATGTAGTGTGTCGCACCCAACTGCTCGACTTCTTCAGGAAATCAAACACTCCTCCCGAGCAAATGCGCTCACTGACCCTTGAGACAATCAATGTCAACTATCCTGCAGATCAATGGCTCCAAGTCTTCACTGATGGGTCATACATAGAAAGCCAAGCAAACGTTGGTGCAGGTGTCTATTCTGAACTCTTCTCTTTCTACGCAGCAGCGGGACATAATAGATCCGCTTTTGAAGGTGAAATAGAGGCTATTAGGATAGCACTATGCCAATTATGTTGCCTGGATACGAAATTTACCAAAGCGGTGATACTTTCGGACTCACAGTCAGCAATAGACTCTATTGGAAACAGAGAGACACCCAAAACAGCTGAGATAAAGGAATGTAGAAAACTGTATGAGCTGCTGAGAGAGAAAAACAAAACAGTGGTCCAACAATGGATTCCTGGTCACTGTGGCATTAAAGGCAATGAGATTGCTGACACACTTGCTAAGAAGGGGACAACGATTTTGCAATGCATGGACCGGCCGATGTCTTTCCACACAATGAAGACCTTAATCAGGAGAGAATTCCAGACCTCAAGGTGCAATGAACTTAAAGCTCGAACAAAGGAGAAACAGTGGACAGTGGCACTCTCCGACATACCCGACTGGCCAAGAATCGAAGCCGTTGCTGAGTTTAGACTACGTACTGGACAAGATTGCTTGGCAAAACACCTTCACAGATTGGGAGTATACACTCAACCCAGATGCCCTCTATGTAACCTACATGAGGAAATGGAGAAGACCCACCTGATTCGGTGTCCAGCTCTAAAGACAAGGACGGAAAGCCAAAGATACTGGGAAGCAAGAAGACTGCTAATGAACTGCTATTAATTATCTGCTATAAATGTACCCCCCCCCCTCTTGGGGGAAGCTGAAGTCAAAGATTAAGGGCTAATGATAAATATCATAAAGCCTGCCATTTGAAATAAATAAAGTTTAAAACCGGTTACTATTCCCTTTGATAGTGCCTCACCCACATAGTATGAATAAGTCAAGATGGCATGGCCAAGCTTGCAATTAAATCTGTCTGCCAGCAGACATTAATTATAACCTTACTCATAGAAAATCTGAGTCAAATGGTAAAGATTTAGCACTAGGGTATCTCAAATTGAACTCTTGTCCATTTGAGAATACAAGACTGATAAGTTGATTACTTCGTTACCTTCTTATCATTGGCCTCTTCCCCTCTCCTTTAATATAATTTAGTCGGCTTCCTTGCTGTACCCCCTAGTCAGATTTTTCGCACAGATCAAATCTTTCTAAAGTTATTTGCCATACTATGAGTAGAAATAATTGGCTACTTAATTAATCCTTAAGTAGTATTTCATAAAATACTTCGCTAAATTGATTAGTGGTTTTAGTATAAGAATCAGCTGATTGGCAACTTATATTCCATTAGGCAACGAGGTAAATTATTGTAGTAAATCACATTTTCATGAATAAATACATGCCCATTTAAGTGAATTAGTACTTCAATTTCCATTTAATTCACTTATATACTGTTTTGAATATTTTGCAAAGGCAGTAGTACGCAAGTGGGGTTATGAAATACGATGGAACACGTGAAAATGAGCGAAGTAATATAACAATGTAATTACGCCAATCTTTTAAATAAGAACCAAGTGGGGAATCATTTACCAAAATGACAGCTAAAAACTCGCCTGTCGATCAAATGACTAGACCAAATGACCTGAGGAAACATTAAACTGTTATTAACTTACTTAGAATGAGTTGGGATTACTTTAATATCATTTATTACCGCCCCACACCTTAGTTCCATCTGACCACTAAACCCATCAATAGGAAGAAATTAATTTAAGCTAACAAAAACCTTGCTATTGAAGAATTGGAAGTAGGCTAAGTCAACAGGTACGTCAATAAGGAAGCATGCTCACCAACACTCAGAGCCTAGACCAATGGGATAGCAAACACGTCGTGGTGTATTCATCTTCAAGTCCCTTACTAGAGAGGTTGGTGGTCATTGCGGACAAGATAGACGTAATTATAATATCGGGCCACTTTAATGTGACTTCCATACGCGACCAACTAATGGAAGACCATTTGGCACTTATAACAAATCAAACTGTCAAAGTTAATCTCAAAATCTCGTAAATTTAGCCCTTCTATGCGTATTCATGACGTTTCACTAAGCCTTCCACGTTCATATATCCATTCCATTCCTAACTCAATTACCACATCTCCTGAAAACATCCTGAGCCATCTCAACTCCTCATTTTTTAGAAATTCAAAATGATATTACAACTTGCAAATCATAACTCACTCATGATAAAAAGCATCATTTCTCGGAATCAGCGCTATCCTAAATGCTTGTTCTCACTCGTTTACGTCAATCTAACTGCCATTAATGCTTTGGATAAATTAATTCACTAGACCTACTATTTAAACTGAGTGGTCCAACTTCTATCTTTCATAAATCTTATATACTTTATACCCGCTCACGTTAAATTACCCCATCTAATAACAGGCTCCTTAATGGGCTTGTTTAGATTACGCTGAACATCCAAAGGCAAGGTTAGATAGAAATCCTATAAATAAGAAAAGCAAAAGGAGAATAAAATAAACCTACTTATAACAACTCCACCGGAAATGCACTTTGTATATGGCGTTTGTCGTCTAGCGAGAGTGGTTTTATTGGAACGCAACCACGACTGAAAAGACTCTTCGGCTCGTTTTCGTTTCTCTCTATCTGCTAGTTCTCTAGAACGATGTTCTATTTCTCGGCGCTGTATTTCTACTATTTTCGCATGTTGCTTTACTTGTAACCATTCTCTATACTTTTCTTGAGCTTTAAGCTAATCAATGTAGGTTATTCGCTTGGTAAAATATAAAACGACTACCTGTTGCATCTGTCTGTTTGCAGCCTCTATTTTCATCTCTGTTTGGGCAATTTCAGCTAACTCTTTCTGCTTCATCATCACCAACTTCTTGCCCTGGAACCAAGTTCTAATTTTCTCTCTTGCAATGCATTTCTTCTTCATAAGTTCCTCCTCCTCTTGCTTTCTCCTAGCTTCTTCTTCGCTCTGTAATTTGTAATTCATAGAAATGGTTTTTCTGAATCATTTAGGTAAAAAGCTAAAACTTGCTTTAAGTTTAGCAACTTGTTGAGCTACTTTTCTCTGTTCGGCCTTCTTCTTGGCTAACCACAGTTGTCGTGGTGATGACTGATTCCATCGATTATTACTGTTATTTTCCAGGTCAGCAAGGAAATTATTAATGGAGTCGTTGTCACTAAAATCTTGAACAGATTTACTGACATTCGGTGCAGAAAGGTGTCGCCCGCTAAAATTTTCCACCGTTGTAAAAAAGTATAGTTAAGAATGAATTTAGCATTTCTATAAACTTCCAAACTTGCCTGTTAGGAAATTGATTCAACCTCTCTCTATAATAGCCATCCTTCCTGCTCTTCTTGCTCAGTCGAAATGTAAAATGTCTCCTGAAGTGGCCCTAAGACGAAGAAAGTATTTATACCTTTAAAAGTTTTGCCGTCTAATGAGCAAATTCATATACGATTGGAGATATAAATCTACCTTCGAATCATTGGAAACACAAAAACTGTGACTTTCCAAATTTCGTGCTAAAATAGGTTTAGAAAAATTCGATAAAATAAATCTTTCTGTATTTTTGCTTAATTGTCAAATAATTGTATTGAAACCATATGCATCAATGGTTAAATGAATTAAAGATAATAATAAATGTTCACCGTTGTGCCTATCTGAACTTATGCTTGTGATCGATATTCCTGATAATAGACTCTTAAGTGAATTACTAGAGTCTACACTGCTCAAAGACATACTGTCATCCATGTGTTTCGTATGGCCAAAATGCGCACTGTAAACATAGCCTTGTAGGCAAAATACTTACCGGTAGTTTTGATTATACCAAACAAATTGAAAGAATTTTATTTCATGAATTGCAAACAAATTTAACAATTTGAGTCATTTATTAATACTTTAGCTTATAATTTCAATATATTAAGAACCTCTAATGGTTACACGGTAAATCAATGTGTTTATTTAATGAAACTCGTACGAAGCAAAAGCTATTAGGAAAAATCAAACAAGAAATTCAATATTAATTTAAAAATAATACTGCATTTATTACCCTGGAAAATCAACATTTTTAAAGTTATTTACAATAATCTTTATGAAAAGTAATAATATCCGCCCATCTCCAAAAATTAATAAAGCCATTTTTATCACATGATTCATTATTTCACTTTGTGAGATAAATTGGCTTTACTGGCAATCACCTGAATTTATTCATATTGCAATATGACAAATACTATAGAAACAAATCTTAACTAAATCTTAACTATTCTATCTGACAAAATTCCTTAGTATAGATTTTCTCCTTTAAGTTGTTATGCCCCTTAACGGTTAAAGGAAACGGATTGAAACGGTGAAAGGCATTTATCTTAGTTTATGAGCTATTGCTACAATCCGAGTCGTGGAAATTCAATTAGAGCTACACAAATTCATTGTGGCTACTGGTCAGTAAGTAGCTGAGAGGTTACAACATACACATCTACATTTACACCCTACACGACTAGCGTTGCAATCTTACCTTCTAAACTCTTCAATTGCACATAATTTTCCTTTGTGATTAACCTTAATAGCATAGTTCGTTCCTCAATCGCCATCCCATATATTCAAAAATTGACTCGAATATACAGTTATGGCAATAGGCTGAATAGCATATGCATCAGCATAGGATGGGAGGTTGCTTTATGAAACCTTAAAGTATCTTAAGTTCATGATAACTGTAATTTCTAGCTTTGACATGTAACGTTTATTTTCAACTTTCACATTAAAGGGGGTATTGTATATGTTTCATAGAATTTTTTGTAGTTGGTATAGTCAAATACAAAATCAATGCAAAGTTAAAGAATTTTCTTTCTGCATTCGTATGCTTTCAATGAGATAATTTAAGCCTCTGCGTCAGAATACATATATGTATGGCCATTTCTAGCATAAAATCTCGTCGAATTTCGTAAATAAGTTTTGCACGTCATCAATGAGTTCTTGACCTCTTAAAAATGCGTGGATAAGTATGTAGAAATCGAAATTAATTTTATTCTCGGTGCACCGGAGTACAAAACTCATTAATGAAGTCGTGGATCATCTCCGTCGATTGTTCGCTAAATAACTTTCAGATTGACAATAGTTCTAGCATGTGTGGTCAATGACCGTCCCTTTCTATTGCGCTCCTCATAGCAACACAACAAGAGAAATTAAAGTGAATTTTAGGGACTTAATCAAATTTCGGCAATGAGCATTATGACTTACTTATCTCAAGTAAATAGTTAAAAACCAGTGAATTGAATAAATGCCTTAAGCTTTCGTGTCTGTGGTGGCATAATGATACACATGCGTCATGTTCAATGCTACTAAAATAAGAACTTTGAACACATTTCACGTTACATACACACCCACTCTTTCCTATGTTACCACTCAGTTGCATTTCCATTTGAGCCTCCATTATCAATAAGTAGGCTGTTGTTTATTTCGCTTCAGTCGTTATTTAAAGTGCTAATGAAGAATTTTGTGAACCATCTACCTAACTCCTTTTTTATGGTAAAATTTAGGATTTTTTAAGCTATCTCCAAGCGAGGCAATGATGTTTAATCTCGGGCTTATTGTGCTCTCCTAGATAAAATTTTCAGGATTAAAATCCAGCACAAGTTAATTTCAATACATTATTCTGGAGTATTCTCAAAATCTTGAATAAATCACACCCAAGAAAATTAGACAGTGGTAATTCACTTTAAAATATTATATTATATATCATACTTCGAAAAAAACAAGAAATAATAATATTCAGTTGAAAGCAAATATTCTATCTATCCTAATTATTATTCCAAAAAATAAAATCAGTTTCAGTATTTTCCTCCTGCTAAAAGACATCTAGCAACTATGTCTATTTTCTTAAGTAAGTATTTCTTAATTATTTTAACTTTGTCAAATTTTGAAAATGGTACTTGCTTTCTAAACTTCAGACAAAACGCTAAAAGGTTAGTCACATTTGAGATATCAAAATTTGGCCTTCTATGTGTCCGACAGCTTTAGCACTTTTGTTATAATCAGCCTCCAACTAAGCGCCTTCACCGTATTCCAGCAGTCACGGTGTTAAGTTTTCGACTTCGCAGTATCTATCTTTAAATAATTATTTCTCTTGTTGGTAGGATTAATAAGTTTGCGATCTAAATTTCAGCAATACAAGTGTGTTAATCATTTAAAAGGTAAGAATCAAAGTCTGTAAATGCTTATTTTATATATTAGATAATGCCTAAAGGTAAATCGTCACAAGTAATCATATCAAAGGGGGCTGCAATCACCGATGATTCCAATGTTGGAATGCAGTTGCTGAAGAAAATGGGCTGGACTAAAGATACCGGTCTTGGAAAAGAGGGAAACGGTATTTTGGAACCTGTTAAAGCTTCAAGCAATTTTGGACGAAAGGGCTTAGGCAAGGTCTCCACTCAGGCAAACATGGACATGGTTCAACAAACTCAATTTGAATATGTTCTTCAAAAAATTCAATCGACAAATGGTAATGTGGCTTCTAGCAGCGATGAAGAGGAAGAGATCGAATCAAAGACACGTAGGCCACGCCTTTGTTATGGAAGGTACTTGCGAGATAAAGATATCTCCAAATGCGATGACCGTTCATTGAAAGTTATTCTCGGGAAGTCGGTGGCAGAACCGGAAGATCTCTCTTTCATTTCACCTTCAAGTGAAACAGTGGAACAAGTAAAAGACAGTGGCCACGACTTTGGAGTTAAGACCTACTCAAGCTCTACAGATTTGAAGTCGTATTTTGCTGAAAAGATGAAAGCCAAACGATGTGGCCAAACCGCAGTTCAAGGTGAACACTTACTGAAGAGATCGCGTGACCATGATGGTTCTCCGAATTCTCCCGAAATCTCCTATCCCTTATTTAATCTTGATGATGGTAAGATTACAGTTTGGCTTAAATATCCGTTTAAGGATTTGACTTAATTATTGGTCGGGATACAATCACTTTAAATTACCTTGATTATAACGCGCTTAATTTGACCGATTTTAATAACATTTTGCCCACTGACCGCCTCTCTCTCTAAATATTGTTTGTCTATTGATTCCCTAGTTAAAATGTCGGATGCTTCCAAACATTCAGGTCCATCCGACACGGGTTCCTCCATAAACGCAAAATCAATTGGATCTGATGTAGAGGGTCATAAAGGCGAGTTTTTTTTATCCTGTGTTGTTTACATATTTGCTTTCATATTTGAGAATCTAAAAAATTTCCTCAAAGTAAGTCTTTTTTCAACTATAAACTAAGTATTACGTTTTACTTTCACGTTTAAATGCCATGATGGTAATGACTTAGTTTGGGTATACAAAACTTTGAGGCTAAACGCTTTGATTTCTTGGGTTAAAATCTCCTGATTTTATGATTGTACAGTGAGGTCGCTTGTTCATTTGCAATAAGACTTTTATTTCCTCAAGATTGATTTATCTGCTCCAAATTGAAAAGGGAGAAAATATTTTATAGGAAATGGTCGTTCCTATGCATTCGTTAGCCAGAGTGAACATATGGGCAAGTAAGCAACTTCTAAATTTTCCCTTCTGTATACTGTTTTAGACGATTCTTCAAGCAGTAGCTCCAGCGATGAGCTTTCTGAGCAAGAAGAAACTCCGCCTCCACGACCAGATTCTCCTGATATTTTTGTGAATTCGAATATCTTATCGCTCAAGGGTTATCCCTACTATTGATCTTAGATGTTTGTACGACGTTCTGTGTAAATATATGAGGCGTTGTAATTTAGATCGATGCTTTTTTTCTGGTCTGTCTTTGGTTATTGCTTGCATCCTTACTGATTGTACTAGTCTATTTCACTGTTTGGAAATGCTAATGCGCAACAGGTTTGGAATCTTTATTCATGAGTCTTAATTAAATCTTCAAAAACTCTATATCTTCACCTCAAGTTTTTCGAAGGTTGACTGATGTTCAGTTTAAGTAGATCGGACTGAAATTTATATTCTGCTGTGCTGTTTTAATCAATTTTGTAAAATTTAAAAATTGATAGCAAAAGCACTTATTTCCCATCTGTACGCTTTCGATTGCACTTTTCAACTGTACATTTGGCAGCTCTTACACAGATTCTCTTGAGTTGGGTTTTGAATTTTGAGAGGCTCTGGTGGGGGGGGGGGGGGTTAAGATAAAGACTCCCGCGGTAAAATGAGTGTTGTGACCACGTCGAAAGATCCAGTCCTCTTTTACTGGCGAGGTCTGGGTCGAATTTGTCGTCACAGGAAGTCAGAACGATCCGCTGCTGAGTAGCATCTCAATAATTGGTCACCAAATCTAAAAATACTAATCTGCTTGACTTTTCCTTGAAAGCAAAATTTGAACTTCTATGGCTATTTATGATAACGCCCACTTCGTCTCAGTGTAAGTACAATTTCTGGCGGTCTCAATGGAAACGGAATACTTCAGGATTCCCACAATGTCCTTGAGTTTGAATCCACTGCTGATTCCGAAAACCGTAGGCTAGATATCATCGCACTTTATTCCGACTATTTTCTACCATTCCTAAGTACACTCGAAATTCTCAGTTTGTTTAGTAGCTCTCTCCAGGACCTGTCTGAAGTTGATCAGTCCCCTTCTTCAAGTTATTGATATTTCTCCAACCAGCCACACCAGTGTACGAAAGTAACTAAAATATTTTCGGACTTATTGAGTACATGTTCCTACAATTACTTCATTCACTCTTGGTCTGAATCAACCGTTCCTTAAGCGACTAATTATTGTACAAAAAGGGTACTTTGTTTTATCAACAACCCTTTTGGGTATTAAGGGTATAGAAAAATCACATAATTAGTTGTTTTTATTAAAATTACGTTTATAATAAATGGAATATAGTATACAAACGCGCAAATGTTCATTAGGGGGGAGCGGGGAGGAACCAGATAAGACCTAACGAACATCAAGAGTAAAACGGTACTCCTGATCGCAACCCATATAGGCATCGGACATGAAGAAGAGGGTGTATTCCTGCTTTCCTTGTGCTGAAGCGGGAACTGTCAATTCCAGTTTAACCTTTGTGGATTTTGACAATGTCAGACGTTTAATTGCCATCAGGCTGTTTGTTTTTACGTCACCAATCACCAACCACCAGCCCTCTTCACGTTTCTACACAGAGAAAAACCAGATTTATACACTACCGGAATAGCAAATAGGAAGAGAAAAGAGTAAATTTAGCGCACCTGAGGAAAGAAGGGAGCGATAACTGGTCCCGCGTTAGCTTCATCTCGTTCAATACTCACGTTTACATTTATGGTGTCGCCGCTAAAATTTAAATAAGTAGTCGAGTAATGTTATCAACAATGAACTCCGAAAATCTTATCGAAATCGATAAATCAAAGTGTCCCTTAGCCCTGCTCAGTGGGCGGCGTTAGAAAATGCATGCCATTGTCTTGTAATGACGTAGTAAACTAGATGAATGAGAAAGTCATCCCAGAGAGGAATAATAGTGCTAAGGTCTATCTCTTGAGAAGGTATGCATTCTTTCATCTCTCTCTTACTGATTAGAATTAGGTAGTACGACTACCCTGCCACATTACGGTGTACAGATGGGTATTGTTCTCGTGACCTCTAGCTTATCAGGTGTGTAGGTTGACTACGGGGCTACTGATGAATATTGTCACCAGCTACTGTATAGCTTTTAATGGGGAAACAAAAGATGAAAGCCAAAACTAGTAGTCAGGCTTTACTAGTGTAGCAATCCGCTACAAGTATCTCTAAATACCCAAGTTGTGATTGGCGGCTTGCATCACTAACAAAACTCGTTCCAAGATTTTACATGCAAAAACTGAAAAAAAGTTTTAAAGCCACAAAGCACAAACATTAGTTTCAGCAAATAAGAGAGGAAATTGCAAACTTAAAAGAGCCTAAGGTAAAAATGAGTCAAAGTTAATATACTTTCTCGAATTCAAACTGAATGATAAATAATAGACAACCCCAAACATATAATTGATAAATGAATAAGCTTAGGGGCAACGTAAAGAAATCAAAGCCACCGCCTAACCTCTTGACTTGAGTTTTGGTAGTAACAGGTCCACTCGGTCCCGACAGCTCATAATTCACTTCCACATCTGGATATCGATTACAGAATCGTGCAACATCAGCAACCTCAGGTTGCGATAAACCCTCAAGGAGTTGAGCTCGTGCAGCATCTTCTAGCTCCATTAAATCGAAGATGGATTCCACACCGGCCTCTTTGCATTTGGTGATGCGTTCCGCGTTGAAGTGGGGGAGTTGACGCAGGTAGGAATCCTTATGCCAGACTGCCTGAGTGATCATTTGGGAGAACTCCATTGCTGCTAAAGCGGGACCCAACCAACTGTTGCTGGACAAAACATCAACGCAGGCCTATTGAATAAAAAATGTTTTATATTTAAAATATTTTCGAAGAACACATTAAGGAAAAACGGTATCAACACTCATCCCCGATTTAACACTTGTATTTCACCAAAGAGCTGATAATTTAATGTTTTAAACATGTCGATTCTCACACTATCGTAATCTCCAACAAATCTCATTTTTGCGTGAAGCTGTTCACCCGCGAACGTGTCTAGGTCATGAACTGACCAATTAGATATTCAGAGATCCCTACTACTGGTCGAATAAGAATAGTGGGCCATTGAAAGTGAGCCAATAGTCTCACAACTTTTGCCCACAGTAGCTTGCCTTATTTAATGAGTGGAACTGAATTGAGCGACGTTGTATAAGACTGTAAAAGAGAAAAAAACGAATCTTACCTGGATAAGACGAATAATGCAAACCAGGAGTTTGTCGATATCTCCTTGCAGTTCCGTAGAAAGAGAGAATCGTGAAAGATGAGCTTGCAACAGTAGGTTGGCTTTCACATGAGGACTAGAGAAAGTGGCCTTGGGTGCCAGTTTTTGCGGAACTTTGGTAGCCAACTGGCGTAGAACTGTATCCTCATGATGACGTACTGGCAAGATGACGTCAAATTCAGATGCATTACTTATTACATCCAAGAGACCTCGAATCTTCATTTTGTTAGTTAGTGACAGACTGAACAATTCTAAAGGAGAATGGAGGAAATAAAGGCTAGGCAAGAGCAAATTATTAAAATAAATAGTTCAAAGAAGATACAAAACGACAAAGTAAAATAAAAAAAATGAAAATCTGAAGCTATTGCTCTCCAAAATTCTCATTAACGGCCTAGAAGTAAACGTTTCAAGGATAAGACGTAGTACCAATATCAAGCGATTATATTTGTGTTTCCACTAAGACTTAAGTAATTGGCAAAACAGAGGTGAGCATTCATATAAACTGCTGAAAATGAAAAATCGAATGGGAAATTTAAAGTCTGCTTATAAACGAGTGTCATTTTACAAGTATTCTACAAGAGAATGCCATTCGTATGTCCTATAAGATAAATTACATACGACATCAAATTGTACCCACAGGTTAGAAATTTACCCTTATTTCCAGAGTAAAGCTTGTTAAAACAGGGAATCGAGCAATGCAATGTGATTGTCAACTTACCGATAGTACTGTGATAGATGTAGTAGTAAGCAGCGATCATTCCCAAATTGAGTGGTGACAAGTCCATCTCATCTTCAATAGCAATACACTTGGACTGTTCCAAATCTGTCAGAGTAGTCTCAACCAACTCACTCAAGTGATCACTCAAATGCCGATGCGTGACACCTTGGAGATTATAGTAATTAGGATTCTGTGTCATTCGTCTGTAGAGGAAGGTCCACGTCAGATAATCCACTGCATCCTGCTTATTCTCAATTGTCTTAGTGACAATTTCTGCATTGAAGTGATCGTGAAGTTCATGGTCAAGATGAGATTCAACAGGGAGGGGGTCGTGCAAGAACTTCTTGAGGTATTCCTGCTTTCCCGTCTGACAGTAGATGATAGCCTTGGCATCACTATCCAGACCAGGTCTATTTGCACGGCTGACCATCTGAATCATGTCAATGATGGGATAGTCTTCATAAGCATGGATCTTTCCGTTATAGTCCTGAGTATCGAGTACAATGACCAAATAGGCTGAAATGTTTGAAGCCCATGCAAGATCACGAGAAACAACTAGAGTATGGAGAGCTCCAGCAGCATATAACGCTTCAACCAGTCTTCTATCTCCCTTACTCAAAGCTTTATGTAAGTAAGCAATACCACCCCCATAACGAAGAATTTCTGCAAGTGCTGAATCCGCTATCTGTCCGGCGGCTTTTTCCAAAGCTTCTTCCAAGTGACCAGAAAGAGGCACGAACTTGGGTTGTTGGGCAGATTGCTGCTGGGAACCAGACAGGGCATTAGCAGTAGCTTGCATTGTGATCAAATCCAAAGCAGTTCTCTGAGCCTGGCGTCTTGAAGACACGAAAACAATTGTAGGTCTATGTAGACCTGGTCCGACGCCTTGACTTAAGCAGGCATATTTATTGATAGCCCGGAACATGGGCTTATTAGCAGCCATAAGTCGACTAGCTTGGTGGCTGAAATTTAACTCAACTATGTTTAAGTCGAGAGGCAGTGGTCGAGTATTAGGTTGGAAGTTGTAACTAGCTCCACTAGAACAACCCAACCAGCTAGCCATATCACGCAAGTTGGTGATACTATGAGCCAAACCAACAATACGCAGCGGCTGACCAGTTGATTCAATCTGACTAGCCATATAGCGCATACGTGAGCAGACCACCTCATAAACAGGTCCTCCTTCAGCACCAATAAGATGTAACTCATCAGCGATAAAAAGATTCACGTTCTGAACATGCTTTCGCTGCTTCCAACGGCGTGAGAGAACGTCCCAGTGGTCTGGAGTTGTAACAATAATCTGTCCCCTGACAAGGAGTTTAAGATCAACCGAAGTCTCACCAGTTAAACGAACAACCCTTCGACCCAATTTGGTACCAAAACGAGCAGACCAGTCATTGTAACGCAACTCTGCTTGCTCTTCAAACGGTGTTACATAGACACACTTGAAGATTGGTTCTCCAGATTCATCAACCTGTTGGTTGGCTTGAGCGGTGGTCATTAAACGGAAAAGAGCCAATTCAGCACATACTGTCTTTCCACTACCTGATGGTGCAGCAATGAACACATTTTCATCGGAGTTATACAGAGAGTTGAATACCTGGGTCTGAATGGGATTGAAGTCTCTTATCTGATCAGTGTAAAGTGACTCGAAGTCCTTATTTCTCAATGCAGTAACTGGGAGAGGCTGCAAATCAAGCAATTCAGTAGGCGGAGCAGTCTTCTCAGGAAGGATAAGATGTCTGAATGATACGGGCAGAGTAACTTCACCACCGATCCATCTATCTGAAACAGCTCGAATGTAGTAATGTGGAGGGAGAGGATCAAATATTGGGACTGTGAAGTGAAGAACATGGTCTTCTGTGGCGTAGCGTTGTTTAAGTACAAAGAATTCTCTGTGAAGAACAGTATCCCCATCTACATCTTCAACAAGGATCCAGAAGGCTTGACTATTTCCATGGGTCTTCTCATCCCAAACAAAATCTGGAGTGAGGGTCAATTCAACACGAAGAACAGATCGTGTTACTGGTTGAACGTGAACACTCATTTCAAGACGAGGTAATTGATGGAGATACTTGTGAAGAGGTTTTCCCAACTTAGCGGATCGGACAAGCTCGCCCAACTCGTGGTGATTCATATCATAGAGACGTTCAAAAGGCAAAGACTTCTTTTCCAGCTTTGTGATAATCTCAGCGGGAAGCTTTTTGAACTGCCTTAGAGGGCACATAGATTCCCACATTCTGCGTTCTATCATTTTGGCAAGAACTAAAGCATTATCTGACAACTCGGCCCAACCCTTATGGAGGACAATTTCAAAGAGAGCACGCATTAAACGTCCTGCAGATTGAGTGATAAAGACCATATCAGACACCAGAGAGAAGCCTTCAAGCTTCAAGCCAGAGATGTAGGCTTGAAGGAGACAATTTACTTTAGCAGAAGAATCATCTGCAGCTTCTTTAATTGGAATAGGAACCCTCTCAAGAAGTTGAGCCAATTCAAACTTTTCTTCCTGTCTCACAGAGATATGTTTGAATTCGGAGCTTGAGGCGAATACCCGGAAGAGTTCAATCTCACCCAGACCAGGACGAAGCAATTTGTTATATGTTTGGACAGTCTCGTGAGTGAGATAGAAGTGTGAAGCAATGCGACCCAGCTCAGTTGTTTCAAAGTTGCCCGTGCGTCTCTCATAGTTAATGAGACCACATTTTTCAAGAACAGTTGCAGCAGTGTGAACCAGATCACGACGGCGCTGTTCTAACCAGGGGTCAGAGTGCTCACTTCCGGAAGGAACACCGTAAAGTGAAGGAGCTCTGAGCATACGAATGTAGAGATATGTGTAACCGAGCCAATTTACAGCATCACGAATATTTGAAACAGTACCTAAAACGATTTCAGCATTCAAGAGATCAGGAAGTTTGGCAACGAGTTGACTCTCAATTGGGAGTTGCTGATTCATGAGTGAGAGGTAATACTGCAATTCGGTGTGGTTAGTGATAAGAATACCTTCACCCTTCGTATCGTACTGAGGACGACCTGCACGACCCAGCATCTGCATTACATCAAGAGGACCAAGTTCAGTCCATTTGCCCTTCTCTGGGTTGTAAATCTATATAAATAAGAATAGAGATTTATTGAAAACAAGATGCATAAAATGAAAACTAGAGCACCAATTAAGGAAGCGATTCGATTTGAAGGACAAATTTAGTCCTACTTCACGTTTTCTCAATCATAATGTCAAGTATGAAATGAATTCACGTCAAAAGATGTCTACAGCCGCCTTAAAGCAAGTTTGAGCACAAATAGAAGGATCTCGCATAGCCCAAGTAAATGACCCCTTAAGTAGCAAAAATAACTTATCTAGAAATACTAATAATAATAATAATAAGGAAGGAACTTGCAACTCTAAGACTAAGACGAACTATATTGAACTTGAAGGATCTTAGAGAAGCACTCAACATGTGATAGATCGCAGTCCTTAAATATATTTCGAATTAAATAAATGAAGAGCTTATAGACCAACTTGAAAATGGCACTGTTTTAAAGCATCTAAATACCATCGTTAAATCTTTGCCGAATTAGGCCATGGATACTTCTCAAACCTCAACAACTAATCTTAGTAGAGGGAGAATAAATTACAAATTCTACACAACTTCCTAAAGCAAACTTAAGAGCCATTTATTTTAGTCCGCATGATGAACAAGCGGATAAAGAAGCTTTATTTCTCATAGTCTGAATTAATTGGGATCGAAAATAGAACAATTATTGGGTGAATCAGAATTGAATAGAAGAAGAAACTAACTTTTTCCCCCAATCGACAACTTGAAAATCTTACTATTCATGCACTCGGGCATAACGAAGATTCGGTTGCCAAAAAAAGGGAAAAACAAGTGAAAAGAAACAAGTTGAACCGCTTACCTGAGTGCCTTTAATGATGACAGTGTGCGCAGGTAAATTGACACCCCAAGCAAGAGTAGCAGTAGATACAAGCACTTGAATATGGCGATCAGCGAACAAATCCTCCACGAGAGTACGGTCTACACGGCTCATTCCAGCGTGGTGCATAGCAAATCCATAGGGCAGAAGATCTCTCAACTCAGAATTCTTCACTTGTTCAGCTTCTTGCCGTAGTACAACAGTAGAAGCATTCTTGTCCTTCATAAAGAGACCCAGGGTGTCCTTTTCCAAGCACATGTCACGAACTGCTCGAGCTGTTTTGCCCGTCTCCTTTCGTGAGTGCACGAATACGAGAATCTGATTACGACCAGCGTGTTCCACAACCTTCTCGTAAACAATTTCGTTCATGAGCTGGAAGCGTTTCACCGCCTTCTTTTCGGTTATGCCTATATATTGTTGTTCAAGGGGAACAGGACGGAAACTAAAATAAATAAATGAGAAGCAATTAACAAAGAGCAAATTGACTAGAATTAAGAACTACGAAATAAAAATTCAAATTCGAGAAAAGCAAAACGCAGTCCAGCATTGAGAGTATAAAATATATAGCAAAATGGTGACATTCAAGAAAGACCTTAGATACCAATACAGCATAGTGGTTAAGAGTCTAACATCGTTCATTGTTACAAAGCACATTTTCGTAGTAAAAGCAAATTGCAATTTCGTAAATGTTCAATAAGAGAAAAGGCGAAAGATTATATAAAAAATAAGTAATCAAATATTTTAAGGAAAAAACAGCAACAAATTAACTTAGCACCTTGGGAATAGCAAATACTATTACCCCGGAACTATAGTTATTCGTTCAATATTAATAGTGGTCCAAGAATCAAATGATTTGGCAAGCAGATGATCAATTAATAGCGCTTACTTTAAAATAAACATCAAATCAAAGTAGAAAGACATAGAAGTTACAAACGCACCTATTATCAAAGTAGAAAAGTCCCTTCTCCACATCCACACGCAAGAAAGTGGCCACATCCGTATAGTTAGGCAGAGTGGCACTAAGACCAACTAATCGAATACTATCCGGATTGGCAACATTTGCGCCTGATGCACTTATCCCTGACGCAGCAGCTGCTTCAGTCGCCCGAAGAGTTCGTGCCACAATGGCTTCCAGAATAGGTCCACGGTCATCATGGAGGAGATGCACTTCATCAAAGATAATTAGACGTACCAGATTAATGTAGGAACGTTCATCGCCTCCTCGTCGGGTCACTACATCCCATTTCTCGGGTGTGCAGACAATGACTTGAGTCTCGAGGATCTGTTCCCGACTCAACTGGTGGTCACCAGTCAATTCGTCCACTTTAATCCCGTAACTGCTCAATCGCTACAAGTGAAAAGGCTCTTAACAAATACAAAGCAGTATTGTTGAGGATATTTGAAAAATTCTATGCACAAACCTGGTCATAAATATTGAACTTACTAAATTTAATTTCAATGGGCAACGTGTTTACTTTGATCTTAATAGAAGGAACATTCAGAATGTTCCATGGAGCAGAGTAATAACAACTTTGTTATATTTATTTGAACACTACCATCAAACTTTACGTTGCATTTTCAGCATCGACCAGAAAATTCGACTACCTTCGAGAACTTTGGCTCATTTTGAAATATAAAACCAACAACAAGCTGAAAACTTTCATTTCATAATACGCTCTTCGGAGCTTCATTGAGATAAGTTCCCATTGACGTTGAAAATTTGCAAAGCTTTATAGGAAATAAAATTTGACTTAGTTTGAAATCTTGAAGAACCCCACCGATTTCCCTAAGAAACTTAATTCTAGAGGGATATACATGCAGTTGTCCGTGCGCACTTTCAGTACTATAAGAAGAATCCACGAACTGGCTAATAGTTCTAGAACCAGCTTATACATGTCAAGCTACCGTTTGTTAAGAATAAACGGAATTTTTACACTCTGAATGCGATAAGACGCACCTGTGGGTCGGTGCTGATTTCCATCTGTTGGCAATACCACCAACTTTTGGTGTTCTATTAAATATGCCGTATTATTTTTACAAACGGCCACTCGTGGGTCACTTCGAAACAGACGGAAATCAGTAACGACCCACCGGTGGGTCGTATCGCCCTCAACGTGTTAAATTCTCATCTCAAAGGGGTTATTAGTTTATCGCCTATTTACTGCAATATACTTTACTGTAAATAAATAGGCAAATCTCTAACTAAAACAACTGAATTTATAAACCGGAATCAAGGGTTTTAAATCCATAAACATACCTTGTTGAAAGTCCCAACCATTTCTTGTACAAGCGATCGCATTGGAGCAATGTAGACAATCTTGAAGTTTTCCTTATTGATACTACCATCAGCGTTGATATGCTGACCAATTTCATGCATTATGCAGAGTAGGGCTACATTTGTCTTACCAGCACCCTAATAGACAGAAATACGTAAAAAATAAGACACAAAGAGCTTTACAAAAATATATGACAATTGCAAGACCCACGGTCGGAGCACAGAGCAGTAGGTTCTCATCAGATTTCATAGCTGCATTGTATAAACGAGTCTGAATCCTGTTGAGCGATTTATACCCCTCAAAAGCTGCTTTTGCGTATGCGGGTAGCTTCTCAATCTTCAAAAGGGTTTCATCGGGGTCATAGGGTTTGGATTTTAAAGCAGGGACATGAACTTCCTCATAACCCTTCTTCTGCGTTCTGAAAGAACCCTCTGGAAGTTGACAACGTTTATTTGCCATCAAATGACCTCCCTGAGAGAAAGCGAGATTGTTCAAATCAACCACATTTGCAACGACGGCCTTCCCATCTTCATGAATGCCGTCTCCATCTTCTTTGGTGTTTTGCTAGTAAATGTTTAGGAGGGATAATTATTTCGATGGTATTAAATATAACAAATAAGCATTCCGGATAATAGACATACTCTAAGACGAGCTACTCTCTGGCTTGCCTTCCGACTTCTTTCATCCGGCATTGTATCAGCGGATTCGTCGGTTTCCCGAAGCTGTTTTAAAATTGCAGCTAACTTGGGATCTCCTTTCATCTTAGATTCAATTTCAGCCTTTTCTTTAGAGGATTGGGCTTGAGCAAGCAGAGTACAATAGAGAACCATGGAGGGATAGCGGCGAAGGATTCGAAGAAAGTCGAATTGTTCGTATCCGATGCATCTGACCAACCGATTTTCTAGATCTCGATCGTCTGTTGCCGTCTTGAGGATATCGAGACATTCCTGAGCTTTCCTTTGGGCTAGAATGGGATCCTAGAGCGAGGGAAACAAGAAAGAAGTGAATAAAAACCCTATTAGAACGTCCTATACCAGTAAAATCCAGCACTATTAAGACAAAAGGGTAGCAGAGCACCTCGAAAATCAGTTTACATAATCCAAATGTGATTGATAATGCTAATATACTTAAAGGCAAAAAATTGTCAATTTTCCACATCTCCAAATTCTAAATTCGATACCCACCAGGTTTAATAACTTCGGAACTTACAAATACAGCCACGAAAATAAGTTGGTGTGATGATGGGCATAATAACACTTCTGCAATAGTTCACATACTAGATACCACAACCTCGAAAGATATAGGTGAACATCCGCACAGTTCAATGGCTCAAAGGTTATGAAAAAGTTTAACCTGTTCTGTTGGAGCTAGTGACTTATTTCGTCATTACTTCTTTGCTCATCATACACAGAGTCCGATACTATACCCCTATGAATTAATGAGTCACATTTACAAAAAAAGGCTCAAATCCCGACAATATTATTAATTTTAGCATGAATTTAAGAATAATGTAAGAATACGAGAAACGCACTTTGCAATGCTTTGAGACATTTCGCTGAAGCCAGAAAGCGTCAATATCACGAGGATGCAGAGCATCTTTGCCGGATTTTGAACCAGAGCCATCTTCGGTCGATTTTGATTGAAGAGTCATTTCTTTTCCTGCTCCATCTCCATTGACATAATCATCATCATCATCGTCATCATCATCTTTAATTTCATAGCGAGTATTATCGTCATCCTATTTATTTCCACAAAAAGGAGAAATGAAATAAGAATTTATTGGAAGACATTTACTCAATTGTCTGGATAAGCGGCCTCAAGCCCAAATTAAACTAGGAATCATAGTTCAAGTTTAAATAACAAAATGAATTCACAACGACACAGAAAGGACGTATGAAAATTAAGATAGCATCTGAAATCGTTCAGAGGAAAAGAAGGATTTCATGATTCCAAGTGGCTGAAAGAAGCCATCCACAAAAAACGCATTAGAATTCTAGGAAAGAGCACAGGAAAAAATATTTGTATGCCACAAGTTAATTCAAATACAGAATGGACTATCACTCTTAAAACTAATGGAAAGGAGAATGGTTAATTCTTGGAAAGCAAATGAATTCATTGATGGTCTAGTACTACCAAGAACACAAGTACATTCTTTTATGAAATTTAAATTGGATTAAAGATTAAAAATGTGCTTCTTATACCAATAATATGCTTATCAAATTCTTACATCTGGGTCGGAGTCCTCAAATTGGACATTAACTCCGTATGTTTCGTCAATATTCTCCTCCCCAGACTTTTCTGTCTCATCCTTCCAATCGGTAATTTTCTTTCCGAGACTGACTATGATATTATAGCGTTCGTCTGCCAGAGTACCCATTAAGCTTTCAACCTCCTTGCGTCTTTCCTTGTCCCTCAGCCTAGTATTTTTCAATGCAGCGAGGACTTCATCAGCTGCACCACAAAGAATTTCACGAGATTGATCACCAAGGGCTTCTTGAATACAATGAAGAATATATTCGTAAGTTTTTCGGGTTTCTGGTGTCTTGGGTCTGTACAGGACACCAGCAAAATCATCAATATCTTCGCTAAGAAGATTTGCAGCCTTAATTCTCATTTCATCAAACTCTTCATCTTCGAGTTTGCGGCGCTTGGCCTTCTTTTCTTCGAGCATATTTGGTCTGGTACGCTGAGCTTTGCTGCCCATTTCATCCATACGAATTTTTCCAGCGAGAGAGAGTACCTCACCAGTAGATTCATCACGAGGCCGTCGATCTATTAAAGATCGATCGGCAGTCATTACCAAGTTTGAGTTTATGTTATACTCATACTGCAAATTTCTTGCAGCTTGGTCAGCCATTGCTTTTCAAAATGAGTAAATCAAATGTGGCAATGACGAAATTTCAAACGGGTGCGAGATACCTCAATGACTAAAAGAGCCTTCTACAGTGACTAAAATAAAAAATATTAGTTTTACCTTCAATATTTCTATTGAAATATATATTGAGTATAAATAAATAAAATAACATTATTGTTAATCTCTGTTAAATTTCGTTTATGTGAGCTCATAGAACTGCCGCTTTTAATTCTCTTCGAGAAACTCATGTTATGGCTTTTATCATGTCTGTGAGGTCAATTTTCAGAACATGTAGGTTTATTTTTTGTGCTTTATTGCTCTGTTTAGCCTCATTACCTGTCAGATTCGTTCGGAACTTACATGTCTCCTCATTTCTTTCTGCCAAGGATTTCTACAAAGTTCTCGGTGTTGACAAAAATGCATCTCAGTCTGATATCAAAAAGGCTTATTACCAGCTCGCTAAAAAATATCATCCTGATATAAATAAGTCAGACAAAACTGCAGCGCAGAAATTTGCAGAAGTCAGTGAAGCCTATGAGGTATGAAAACATCGTCATATTTTCTATGTTTCTAGATTCTTGGCGATGAGCAAAAACGCAAACAGTATGATTCATTTGGTGGTACTAATGCCGGAGGTTTTTCTGGTGCCCAAGGCGGATTTGGAGATTTCGCTGCACATGTGGACCCTGAAGAATTATTCCGTCGTATTTTTAGAGACTCTGATTTCGCTTTTAAAGAATGGACCTCGGGTGATAAAAATTTTGCTGAATCTATTTTCGGGTTTAATACAACTAGGGAGGTTTCCGTTAATCTCTCTTTTGAAGATGTACGTTTATTCGCTCATTATTAACATTTATTCTTTGCTTTTTTAAATCTACGTCTGGGGTGTTGTTTCAGGCTTGCAAGGGAATTACAAAGGAGATTAACATCAATACAGTTGTTCCCTGCTCGACTTGTGAAGGGTCACGCTGTCAACCAGGCACTGGAATGGCAACTTGCCCCAACTGTCACGGCACTGGTAACGAGACTGTTAGTACAGGTCCCTTTGTTCTTCGATCCACTTGTCGGAGGTGCTCTGGCACTGGGAGCATTGTTAGGTATCCATGTCGAGCATGCAACGGCACCGGTCAAACTGTTGGTAAGGAGAATGTCAAGGTTGCTATTCCCCCTGGTGTCGAAGATGGCCAGGTTCTTCGTGTCTCTGTTTCTAATGGACGTAACACCAGTCGATATCAACCATCCCAAGAACTCTTTGTTACTGTTCGAGTTGCCTCTAGTAAAGACTTCAGACGAGAAGGCGCTGATGTACATTCAGATGTTACCATTTCTATTTCTCAAGCCGTTCTTGGAGGAAAAATTCGTATTCCTGGAATTTATGACACTGTCCTGGTTACCGTAAGCTTTTAATTACATATTTTATATTTGTCTTGTTTTCGAAGGTATTTTATTTTTTTCCTTTTTCTTAGATTCCTCCCGGATCTGCTAGTCATGATAAGATTCGTCTCCCAGGAAAGGGTATTAGTCGCGTGAGCGGACGTGGTTATGGTGATCATTACGTCCATCTCCATATTGGTACTCCAAAGTAATGCCTGTTTCTTATTCATGAAACGTTTATTTACCATAAACTGCTATTAGTTCGCCCATTCGTTAGCCCGAATTACCAACATTCATTGGTCATTCACATCGTTGATTGATTTATGTCAATTTGGTGTTTGTTTCTCACGCTCGATCTCTTTCGACACCTTTTTATTTCCAATATATTTTGAAGTCGAAATAATGAAAGAATCCCATTAGCCACCTTGAAGACTCTTGGATGTTTGATTTAATTTCTCGTGATCTCTTGCTTTAGATTTGCTCACTGGAATAGTAAATTTTTTTTCTGATTAATTCAACCTTATTCTTACTTAAGTTTATGACAAATAGCTTAATCATAAGGAACAGACGGACATTTTGTTTCCTAGGGCTTTCGAAAAATTGATGTGGCGTTCAAATTGTTACATGGTTTAAAATTTGCTACTTCAAATTTTCTTTCTATTAACCCTTCTCTCTTCTAAATTATTTCAGACGTCTAACTGAACTTCAACGGGCTCTCTTGTTAGCCTTCGCTGAAACCGAAACAAATGTGAAGGGAACTACTGAAGGTGTCGCGCACACAGAATCTGGTAAGTTCCTTATCATTGAATATCTTTCTCTCCTTCTTGCTATTGAGTCTATCCGCCTTTAGCTCTATCAAATCTTCATCAAACACTTATGAAACTGAGTAGTTCAGGTCATGGCAGCGACCAACAGCAACACAAATCTCAAAATTCCAGTTCTGTTGAGGATAATAATGATGATGACTGGGTCACCCGCGTCACCGGTGGCGTTAAACGGGCTTTTGGTGCTGTCAAGAGCGTTTTAGGTGGAGAACTTAAAAAATAAATGTACGAATGCGCATTGACGACTTGATCTCGTGTTATTTTTCCGATATCATTAATAGTTACTCAGTAGGAAGACTAGAATATTAGATCTCATTTTATGTTAAGTGCAGTAAGGATGGATGTTATTTTTCCTCCTTTTAGGTGCTCGCCGAGCTATAGATAACACTGAGGGCTTTCTCCTCTCCCGAATTCGGACAGCCACAACTGAAAAACCATCCCTCGAGTCCCATAAACAGTCTCAATCCCCCAGTGGCACGAAAGCATCTCCCAGTGATAGGAAGGAACGCGATAAATCGTCCTAGTGAAATCTATCTTACCTCTTGTTTATACAGTTCTCTCCCCCCCCCCTTCACTCCTTATAGTAGATTTTCACCATAAAATCAATTTACCTCATATATAGCAAAACGGACTATCATTTTTTATGAACTGGGCCATTTTTATTATTGAGAAAATGTACATAGAGTGGTTAACTAACAATGCAAATCACAAAGCGTTTATGCTGCAGTAAGATCGACTGGAGCGTCATTTGAAATTGGATCGTTTGACTCCTCCTTAACCTCAGCGTCATTAGCTAAATAAAATTAAAATATTATTGGGAAGGGAGGAGTTTCATATCATTTAAGAGAAGGCGAACGTACTATTCTCATCCGGTGATTGGTCAGGTTTTGGTTGATTGTCGGCTGCGGTGCTAATAGCGCTGTCACTTAGAGGCTTTTCTTCTGTTCGAAGTTCCGGAGGATGGGAGGACATTGTGATTATACTACCTCCTGTTGGAGCAAGGACGTTAGATTGAGCTCGGGCAAAGCCACTTTTCTTTGGCTGTGGGTGATCATCCTCAATTACAGGGACCCATTTATAAACTAGCATCGAGGTATCCTTTATAGACATCCACTTTTTTTCCCTGAGTACAACAATCTTAGATAAGCATCATTTGAATGAATAGGAAAGGATTAAAAATTCTATATTGATTTAATAAGATAAATCGATTTTCCATACTCAATGTGAGATATCGGTGTTCTAAGTTGAATAGCGAAATGTGCATACCATTTTTGAACCTTCTCTGAAGTCCTATGAACCCTTCTTGAATCAGCCCTTGCACGACTTCGGGTTTCAGCTCGAAGTGCTCTAGCAAACATATGCCCTATAAAGCCGAAAAGGCGAAATGTTATGGAAAGCTTATTGGTTTAATTATTTAAGCCGCTTCACAATCTTTAGCTATTGAAGCGAATAAACAAACAAATGGTTCATCATGGTGTAAAATGTACGTCTGAATTTAATTAGATTATTTCACTATTTTATTGTAATTGATGCTGATTCTAACGTTTTTAAACGCAAATTTTGTTAGCAAATTGCAGTTAGTATTATTTGTATTAAACTCAAATTTGAATCATAATATGTTTTGTAGATTATGGAATTTATATGTGCTTGGAATGCAATTTTTAGGTAACTATGCATTATTAGACTGAAATTATATTTAAATCTGCATCATTCCAAATGGTAGTAGGAAAGAAATCTGATTTCGGATGCTTTGCTTAATGTATCTGAGTTATAGTAAACGCAGAAAATGTACTATTGGGAAATTTATCCATTTTATACATGCATGCTGAAATTACTCGTAGCTTAATACTCATTAATCTGGTGAAAATTCTCTCGGCAGTCTTTGCTTTTAATCATTCACTAATTTGATTCAAACCAATCAAGTGTCTGAAGATTTTAAAATATTTTAAAAATCATGAAGATTTCGGACAGTCTTTTGTTCTGTATCGCTTTTATAGTTAAATTCGTCCGCTTCCTTAAATGTCTATTACATCGAATTGCAATTTTTATTTCAGTAAATTTAGAAATTTCCTACAGATGATCTTTTAACGATCTTAAGCTTCGTCAACTCATTAAATTATCAGTTTCCAACTTTTTACTGCCCCAGAATTATTAATGTTTCTGTCCAGCTTATTGAGCTCAAAACCTTTTATGCTATGAATTGGATTTCCATTCTTTAGTAATACAAATGGAAAAGGTTACTACCGCTTCACGTAAAGAAGAATTTCTCTAATGTAAAGTTCAATTTTTATGCTTTAAGTTTCTCCGCGAATATCATAATAACATATTTGCTAACAACTTGAAATAAGTTGTGGTATAAAAATATCCCTCCTTATCATATTAAGCTTTAATAGATACTCTTCCGCCAATATATATTTTTATTTTAACGATGTGAACTTATCTTTGGTGTAAGAAGATTCTAATCTGTCGAAGTACGATCACTTGGTCTGTAATTGAAAAACCTGTTCAAGCTCTGAATAAACATGAACTCTAAAGAAAGCGAAAAGAACTGTCTCTATTATGAGATTATTGACAACTCGGTCCTTCCAGAATAAATACGAAGTAGGACTTCTATCACCCTCAGTACATTAATTGCTTCTATAATTATACCAAACCCAATCTATTTCATATTCATTAAATGATGCAATATGCCATTGTACAAAATAGTTAAATCAAACTAGACGAGATCTCAGCCAATCCCATAATAATTTATCGCTATTTACTATGGAAGCACTACAATTCATAATTAGTCAAGAACTACTATATCACTTAAAATTTATGAAAATCAGGGGGTGGCAGACAAAATTAAACACTGTCTTGACGACCGTTTTTTTATTTCCTTTGTTAAACTAAATAGATGTGATTGTTGTAATGTGTAGCGGACTGCTACACCAAATAAGCCTAGACTGA